TGGGTTGGTTAGGTTCGGTCATATATCTACGTTAGTTTTAACTCGAATTTAAACAAAAATTAACTCATACATAATGAAATGAATACCTTTATCATTTCTTAAGAAAAAAATATTGAAAAATAAATAAATTCAGAAAAACTTGGCTTATTAGGCAAATCAGGCCTTGCATAGTAGGCCGAATACGACGTTCTGGCTACTAGGTACAACATACATATATATATATATATATATATATATATATATATATATATATATATATATATATATATATATATATATATATATATATATATATATATATATATATATATATGTTGTTAAGCCAAGGTTTAGTCCTCCTGCCCTCATACCCTTCATCTGAACACGTACAGGTGTATTCCATCATTCCGTTTACATTCCAAATGAACAAAACAATTAACTTGTCCGGTAATATCTTAACCTTGTTTAATATATTTTCCTTAATTCCCGTCGTCTTGTTTCTTTCATTTTGCCCTCTCTCAAACTCCATTACATTGTCAAACACAATGACGCAGTGGTGTGTGTGTGTGTGTGTGTGTGTGTGTGTGTGTGTGTGTGTGTGTGTGTGTGTGTGTGTGTGTGCGTGCGTGCGTGCGTGCGTGAGCGCAGGGGCGACGGACAGATGTGAGCAGAATAATAAGTAGGCAAGGAAAACGGTTGCACATGTTGTCCACAACTTTGATGAAAGACGGTGGGTTGTATGTGTGGGTGGTTGTTAAGCAACTCTGTTACGTATGGACAGATGGTGATATATATATATATATATATATATATATATATATATATATATATATATATATATATATATATATATATATATATATATATATATATATAATATATTAATATATATATATTATTAAATATGACCGAAAAAGTAAGATTTAATTCTAACACGAATTTTCTCAATGTTTCTTACATTTTTCTTCACTGTTGATGGTAACTGAAAAATCAATTCTCCAAAATTCATTTTTATTTCTAGTCTGACGCGACACTTGAGCACGTTTTGTAAAACTTATTACATTTTCAAAGACTTTAGTTTACACACACACAACTATAACTGAACAGAGCTTAAACATCTTCGATTTTTTATACCTGCATTTGGGTGAGGTGATATGTTACAACAGTTTTGGATGAGGTGAAAACAAACTTTCAACACAAGACAGAACACGAAACAATGGGTATAATATTTTGTAAGTTAAAGGGAAGAATGGAAGTAACTGCAAAGGGCCTATTGGCCCATATTTCTTGATGCTTCTATATTGGTGCGGAGTCTTGAAGTGGGTAGAATATAGTTGTGCATTAATTGGCTGTTGATTGCTGGTGTCGACTTCTTAATGTGTAGTGCCTCGCAGATATCTAGCCGCCTGCTATATCTGAGTCTGAGACCTCACCCCTCACAGTGACTCGCTGTCTTCTGTTGCTTAGGTACTCCCTTATATAATACCCCCATATACCTTCCCTTTCACTCCTGCCTGCATCTCCAGCTTTTTCACTAGCCTCTTGTGTGGCACTGTATCAAAGGCTTTCTGGCAATCCAAAAATATGCAATCTGCCCACCCCTCTCTTTCTTGCCTGATTTTTGTTGCCTGGTCGTAGAATTCAATTAATCCTGTGAGGCAGGACTTGTCATCAAGTCCTTGTTGATGCTGTGTTACAAAGTTCCTACCCTCCAGATGTTCCACTTGCTTTTTTCGCACAATTTTTGCCATCAGCTTGCTTGGTATGCAAGTTAGGGACACTGGCCTGTAGTTCAGTGCCTCCTGTCTATCCCCCTTTCTTGTATAGTGGGACTACATTAGCCGTCTTTCAAATTTTTGGCAGTTCCCGTGTTACCAGTGAATTGTTATACACTATGGAGAGTGGCAGGCACAGTGCTTCTCCTTCCTTTAGTATCCAAGGGGAGATTCCATCTGGGCATATAGCCTTTGTCACATCCAACACTTAAGAAAAGCTTCCTTACATCCCCACTGGTAATCTCAAACTCTTCTAGTGATTCCTGGTTATCTATTCCCTCTCTTATCTCTGGAACTTCTCCTTGCTCTAATGTGAAGACCCTTTGGAATTTCTTATTCAGCTCCTCGTGTGTGTGTGTGTGTATTCACCTAGTTGTGCTTGCGGGGGTTGAGCTCTGCTCTTTCGGTCCGCCTCTCAACTGTCAATCAACTGTTACTAACTACTAACTATTTTTGTTCCACACACACACACACACACACACACACACACACACACACACACACACACACACACACACACACACACACACACACACACACACACACACACACACACACACACACACACACACACACACAAAGGGGCCTCGTAGCCTGGTGGATAGCGTGCAGGATTCGTAATTCTGTGGCGCGGGTTCGATTCCCGCACGAGGCAGAAACAAATGGGCAAAGTTTCTTTCACCATGAATGCCCCTGTTACCTAGCAGTAAATAGGTACCTGGGAGTTAGTCAGCTGTCACGGGCTGCTTCCTGGGGTGTGTGTGTGTGGTGTGAAAAAAAAAAAAAAAAAAAAAAAAGTTGTTAGTAAACAGTTGATTGACAGTTGAGAGGCGGGCCGAAAGAGCAAAAGCTCAACCCCCGTAAAAACACAACTAGTAAACACACACACACACACACACATTATATACACACGTTATATGACAAAGAGTGTTGGGAAGACGAGACACCACGAGCGTAGCTCTCATCCTGTAACTACACTTAGGTAATTACTTAGGTAATTACACACACACACACCTAGGAAGCAGCCCGTAACCGCTGTCTAACTCCCAGGTACCTATTTACTGCTAGGTAACAGGAGTATCAGGGTGAAAGAAACTGCTATTTTTATTTCTCGTGGGCGCCGGGAATCGAACACGGGCTACAGGGTTACGTGACAGCGTGCTAGCCACACAGCCACCGGCGTCCCACGTTTGTGTGTGTGTGTGTGTGTGTGTGTAGCTTTATTTTATATAATTGTGTTTATGTCAATGTTAATTATAAATTTCGACATCTCAAGTTATTAAAATGAATATTTAATATTTCGATATTATAGTCTTGTTTGAACGCTTTCGAGATTGTCTGAAGCACTTTGCGATAAATTTGAAAATAATATTCTATAATATAATATTTAATGTCATTTGCTCAACCATCACATGTTCTTTGACGTGGGAACTCGCTTGATTAATTTAATATTTCAATATTGTTTCTGAAATGTCCTTGCACGCTAATGTTAGCTCTGAAGCCCCATGTTTCAAGCTGTGGGTGTTTTAATACAATGACATGTGTAAGGGCGAAGCCATCTCACCGTGGAGTATGCCGGGTCTGGGCTCTGGGACCCGCGCCTCCTACTCACAGGAAAACAAAGCAGGGTCTTATGAATGGGTGAAATGCTATAGGAATAAATGAGGAACAAAAGCAGGATTGGGTGAAAGTTTAAAACAAGAATAGTCTGATATGAAGTATAGCTAAAAAGAAGTGAGAATGATAAGTGGAATGGGATAAATATTACAATAGCAGGTGTGAAGAAAAATGAAAGGAGTAAGGTTGTGTCAACGACTGAGATTTGTACGAGGCAGTGCATGACTTCTGTTGTAATTCATATTAATTATGTGTAAAATTTATGTAGAAAGAGTGGGGGTCTTATGATTACTGATGCTCACTGTGATCACAGAGGTGAAGGAGATTTTATGTTGTAATTAAAACAATCATCAATGTCATGAAAAACAATTACATTAAAATATATTATTTTATTATTGGCTTCAAAGAAATAAATTACATTGTCTGATTTTTTAAATATTTTGTGTGAAAGTTATGTATTTGAATACATGTTTTTGAACATAGGGACATACTTTACGTTTCAGTAAATATGGCATATATATATACTTTATGTAAGAGCATATCTGGTATACTTTCCGCAACAGTGAATCTAAGACTTTATGCAAGAATGCATGATGCAAACTGCCTCACCAACTCCCAACAGCTGCTTTTCTATCTCCTCTTTATAAGATTTTCCCTGTTAGAACTTTTAGAATAGTTCTTGCTATTATAAATACAGCCAGTTGTCCCCTGGTGCGTTCCGTCTCTTTCCAAGTCTTTAAATGTTACATAATTCATTAGTCAGCCCCGCCTACGTTTTCCTTGTGTAAATAGTAATTTAACACCTCCCTATAATACCCACGAGAGATTTATACATTTTTAAGATTTTGTTCTCGTCGAGAGCGCTTTCATTAATCCCAAGCTTCTGAAGGAGCGTGGGCCGGAGGATTATGATGTGCTGACGTTATTAATGTAATATTGGAAGTTTGGTGTGTTGTTATGGCTCATATTTGCAAATAATTATTTTTTTCATTTCTTTGTGTCTTTTTTTTTTGGTCTCCTTCCACCACCCACTTTCGCTCTCTCCCACCCTCCCCCTAACCACTAGGGATGAACGGTAGAGCGACGGTCTCGCTGCATGCAGGTCGGCGTTCAGTTCCTGACCGTCCAAGTGGTTGGACACCATTCCTTTTCCCCTTCCCATCCAAAGAGTCTGTCTCTCTCTCTCTCTCTCTCTCTCTCTCTCTCTCTCTCTCTCTCTCTCTCTCTCTCTCTCTCTCTCTCTCTCTCTCTCTCTCTCTCTCTCTCTCTCTGTGTGTGTGTGTGTGCTCGTAACATAATAACGTTGGCAATCTCCTCTTCCCACACTCCTTTCCGGGAAAATGCCTACACCACTTGATGACAAGAATAATACCACTTAATGACACTGATAATAGCTTGACTGTGCGGATGCAAACTGGAGGAGAGATAAACTACAAAATACGATTTTGTTGAGAAGAAATGTTATTTGAAAATATTTGTTAATCATCTGCGGAACACATATTATAAAGCCGTTTCAGAGAACAGAATGTTATTTTGGTAGGAAGGAAGCGGTGTGTGTGGAGGAAGCGGTGAGTGTGAACAGTGATGATTGTGAACAATGGTGAGTGTGAACAATGTTGAGTGTGAACAATGGTGAGAGTGAACAGAGGTGAATGTCAACAAACTGTGGAAGCCAACGTTGTGGATGCCGGTTAGTGTGGTATACGGTGTGTGTGTATGACTCTTAGAGTTATTTAACCTATTCCTACTTCATTATTCATGTATTTTAACTGATTTCTACTTCGTTCTTGTACTATGAAATTCACAAACCGTTGTGTCAATACGTTGCACTCATTATCTTGGAGGAGATGAGATTTGAGACCTGAATTTGGTCTGGAAGTTCGTCAGATGAGAAAAATTATAGTCAGCCGAAAGTTTTTTTTTTAGGGCAGTTTGTATATATATATATATATATATATATATATATATATATATATATATATATATATATATATATATATATATATATATATATATATATCCGCCTCCACCGGGTTCGATCCCCGGTGGAGGCGGAGACAAATGTGGAAAATGTTTCTTTCACCCTGATGCCCCTGTTACCTAGCAGTAAATCGGTACCTGGGAGTTAGACAGCTGCTACGGGCTGCTTCCCGGGGGGTGTGTAACAAAAAGGAGACCTGGTCGAGGACCGGGCCGCGGGGACGCTAAGCCCCGAAATCATCTCAAGATAACCTGACTAATACATTTAACAGTAATAACAATCGAAACTTTTCCTTCAGTAATACATATTCTGAACTTAATGTTTCTCTACAAGTAATAATAATAATACAATAGAATCATGCACCATACGGAGTCTCATGAAACTCTAATTAAATTTTCAGCTGTTTCACTGCTGAAACAATAAATTGGACTGGTTTTGGCCCGCAATATGGCAAGGGGTGAAATTCATATGAACCATTCGGGAATATAATGGTTATATCAAGAGTAAAAAACGAGACATCAGGGATATATATATATATATATCCTCGGTGTATATACACTGAGAGTCTGCAATAGTTTCGAACTGTGTCCAGGGATAAAATATACTGCTAATTGGCCAGGAAGGTATTGTGGTGGCCTTAATAACCCTGCCGCGGTCGATATGGGCCAGGAGACAAACATCTCACCAAACTAAGCAAATGAAGCAAAGTGCAGCACAGTGATTGAATCCGTCAACGTGAGTGGTCTCTGTGCTTTGATGTCTTCTCTTACTCTCCACCTCACCTGTGATATATATATATATATATGTTTGTGTGTGTGTGTGTGTGTGTGTGTGTGTGTGTGTGTGTGTGTGTGTGTGTGTGTGCGTGCACCCTTTTCCCCTATGTTCCCCACTCTTCACTCCATCTACCCTTTGACATCGTCTAGATTCCCTAGGTTCTGCCCTTCATCCCTCCCTTTGTTCACGCTTCCCACTTCTCTCAGAAAATATATTATTACCGTCACTAAAAACTCTAGGGTGAAACACTCAAAATATTTCACAATTGACTGTGAAAATTGCATGGGGGTCTCTATAATTGCTAATAAATCTGTAGAAGCATTTAACGGCCGACCCGACCAGCCTATGTCCGTCCCGTACGCCTGACCATTCCCGCTGCAAAGTATAGCTTTGTCCGTCGTTTCCTTAGTCGGTTTTGAAATATGGATTTCAAGTTTATGTCTAATCTTTCGTCATGTGGTGGCACACCGGGTGATATTCATGTTAACACCAGGAGAGCATTATGATTGTAGTGAGTATATTGTTTGTACTCGCTACAGGCACCAGGTAACTGTCATGGTAACACCAGGTGACTGGTAACACCAGGTTCCCATGATGGTAACAACAGTGGATGGTAACACTATTACTGACAGCTAGCGTGGCCGGTTGTACCTAAAATTCCATTATATCCAGGTAACACCCGTCGCATCAACCGTCTTATCTATGCTTTGATTTATTATACTGACAGCTGCTGGAAGTGGTGTGTCAGGTGAGCAGGCGTGGTGTCAGGTGGTAGGAAGGAAAGGAGGTGTCAGGTAAGAGGGAGACGGGACGTAGGAGTGGTATCAGGTGGTGAAGGAAAGAGGTGCCAGGTATCAGAGAGTGTAAAGAGGCTTGATGTATCAGGCTGGAAGCATAATTATTTGAAACAGAGTGTGAAAATTAGGTGGAAGTGAGGATATGTAAATGTCAGGGGCTGTCAAGTGTGAGAGTGTTGTTTGTGAATTTATATGTACGACGTAAATACATACTCTTAGTTCAAACCCGTCGTCTGTTGTTTTTGTTTTAGATTCAGCTACTGTGAACAAAAAGTTCTAAGTAACACGGGCAATGTTGAGCCCGTAGTGGACTTACCTGGCACAAGAGCGGGGCTGTAACTTGGCTCTTACCCGTCGGCACCAAACCCTGCTGTTGACAATATCCCGTGCTCTATACACTCTTATTTCCGCATCTATCATACTCATTTCTGTATTCCACACACAGACTTACCATGTCAGTCCATCTTCCTGGACTTCCTCCCAAACGAATGCTCTTTTTCACCAGTCAATTATTATCCATTCCATACACTTTTCTTGACTTTCTTCTGAGCATTAGTTTTTTATATTCACAGGCAATATGTTTATTCACATATTTTTTTGTACTCACAGGCTTCCATTACATCTACCTCTTGGCCTAGATTCTTTAATGTTCTTTTAATGATACGTTAATAAACTTTATTACTCTACGTCAGAGGTAGAAATAAATGAAGTCTATAAGTATACGAATACCATTAACAAATAAGTGCTCAGAACAAAATCAGGAAAAAGGTCAGATAAAGGGATTTATGTTCCCTCTTCCAAGCAATGTCATAAAAAATATACATAGAATATAGACTGATATAGACTATATATAAATAAAAATATAGATTGATGGAAACTTAGCAAAATGCATACACGAGCATTAAACATACACTTATGTAGACAATGAACATACTGCTGTCTGTATATTGACGTGTTCACTTGAGCAGCTGCCAGCTGCTGGTTGCTTATATAAACTTTGCGAAACTTATATGTTCTTATATTCTCACCTTATATTCCCATGTTCATTTCTGAACTTATTTTTTTTAGTTTAGTTGAATATAAGGTTGCAAGTTTACATGTATAAAACTAGTATAATGGGTAATTTTCATACAAAACATCTAATTCCAGTTTATGGTAACCATTCTCACTTAGAATTTTAAGAACAAATTATTATTTTCTTTAAAATCTTAGACTGATAAAGTTGTCAGCGAAGTTTTTATTATAACAAATTTGTCTTGGGATTAAATCCTAAATTATTACCTGGTCTTGCGATGGTTCACAAAGAGTATCATAATCACTATGTTTATGTTGGGAACCACAAAATAACGATTACACGGGCATTTTAAAGCAGGTGGGGGGGTCTTAACTTTTATTTTATGAATACATATCACCAATGAATTACTCAATATGTTCCCATATCTCGTTCTCCAGATTGTCGAATTCATTACCATCCAATTAGGCACCAGTATGACTTTAAAATATGTCAATAGCTTGGTTTTATTTTGCATAGAAATTGTTGGGACAGAAAAGGCGAAAGAAAGAGAAAATAAGGATTTTTATCATATTCATTAATAGAAAAACGGTAAATCAGATATACTCAAGCTAGCAACAACTAGTGAGGATTTTGCTATTGTTTTTGTGCAATCAAAACACGGAATCAAGGAAGGTGTTAAGAGCCCCTTCCTCGAAGAGTCAGGGGCATACTTGGTCACCTACTTCCGAGCACCTGAGCTGGAGATAATACAGTAGGTTATCACAGATAACCTACTGTGGTTATCTACTGTTGATATACTTTACGTTAACCGGCGAGCTGCTTCTGTGGCTGCAGTAATCACTTAATGCTAATCCTGGGAATGGCTGCAGGCAACGCAACGCGATGGCTGCTTCTGTGGAGAGCCGCCATCGCGTCGTTCAGCTAAAAGAAAATTTTTTACATGAAGTTTCCAGCTTAAGAAACTCTTTATAATGAAGGCATGCAATCACATGCGTAAGTAATAACCCTGGGTAATGACCCAAGCATATACTCGTTACTAAAGCGTTAACTTCAGCTGATGATGGCACCACACTGCCACCGTTCCTACATGGATTATTGTCACAGCTCCACATCCTGGCTGACCACCACCTTACTAAAGTCACAGCTCCACATCCTGGCTGACTAAGAGCTCCGCATACTGACTGTATAACCTTTAACTCTCTTGACTCATTTGATCTCCAGTCACTTAAAACTGGCCCGTAGAGATTACTCTTGAATAGAAGGTGATATGAACTACAAAGGGTCCTTTGTGACGATTGTTCAGGAGTGTGTAGTCTCTCTGATTATTATACTCCTCTCAGCACCGTAATCGTCCAGGTTTTCCGTCTCTGTGAAAACTACATGACACTGTACCATTCAGCTTCAGTAGTTGACGTGACGTTGGTCATTCTTGGTTACCTGATCAGTTTGGCTGTTGTTGTTGGTAGACCATACACATGTACTCACCTATTTGTCCTGTGTGTGTGTGTGTGTGTGCCCACTACATGCAAGAGGAAAGGATGATGTTGTTTGTTCGTCTGATCGACTAATCTGTTCCTCCAGGCAGCCCACGCGATAAGTATATCAGATTCAGCCAAGTGTACGTAGCATATAGGAATAAAACATTAATCATCTTCACGTTAAAATGATGATTTATCGGTTCTAAAAATACTGACGAAACAATAATATTTTTAGTCCTAGTGTACCATACACGTACTTTAGGACGCATTATGGAGAGGAAAATTATTTTTACTTCTGAAAATGTTCATCAATAAAGACACTGATCATCAGTTTAACCAACATCTTCTAACTGTATATTATATTTGAGGAAAATATTTTAATGCAGTTTTCGCAATTGATGAGTGTTAAGTATTCTAAGGCTTTGCCAGTGGTTGGTTGGGTGATCGCTCGGAGAGCCTCGTCTTTGGTGAAGTGAACTACGATACGTTTAACAGGGTTCCTGTCCCCCGGCAATATAGCACAACATGTACCTGGGTAGTGAGGCTGTTGTGGCTCGCATTATCCGTTAATTAGCTTCATTTACGTGAGAGGAAAAACAATATTCCGTCTCCGCTGTTGGGGTGTCCTTGCTCTCTCTCTCTCTCTCTCTCTCTCTCTCTCTCTCTCTCTCTCTGTCTCTGTCTCTGTCTCTCTCTCTCTCTATCTCTCTGTCTCTCTCTCTCTCTCTCTCTCTCTCTCTCTCTCTCTCTCTCTCTCTCTCTCTCTCTCTCTCTCTCTCTCTCTCTCTCTCGTCTCTGTCTCTCTCTCTCTCTCTCTCTCTCTCTTTCTCTCTCTCTCTCTCTCTCTCTCTCTCTCTCTCTCTCTCTCTCCTCTCTCTCTCTCTCTCTCTCTCTCTCTCTCTCTCCTCTCTCTCTCTCTCTCTCTCTCTACCTACTACTCTTACTGCTAATCACAAATACGTCCCTTTAATCGTCTGACTCTCTTACCAGGCTCTAACGAACATCTGCCATCACCATTTGCACAGTGTAATGGCCTCGTTCCCTTACTGCAAAGGAACGCCATAATTTCCACAGTGAGGCTGTGCACTACCTTTGTCGTTGTATTTACATTCGTTAGATTCTTGGCCCAAGAAATGAATTTACACGCAAAGACACGTAAGAAAGCACACAATAAAGATAAGGATGGGCAGGCTGTGTCTTCTTGGCTAGAGAAGTAGGCTTGTGTAGCTGGAAGAATGTTATGTTGGGTGTTGGAGTACCCCTCAGAGAGTCAGGAAGATATATCAGAGTAGAAAGGATGGAGTACTTCAAGGGTTACAACTTGGGCCGCAACTATTTCATATAAGGCCTGGTCGAGGACCATGAGTATATGGTCCACCATGTACCCATGGTACATGGATGGTAAATATATGCATTTAGTAAATATTAGAGTGGTAAATATATGTATTTAGTAAATATTAGGGGTAAATATATGTATTTAGTAAATATTAGAGTGGTAAATATATACATTTAGTAAATATTAGAGTGGTAAATATATGCATTTAGTAAATATTAGAGTGGGAAATATATAATATATATATATATATATATATATATATATATATATATATATATATATATATATATATATATATATATATATATATGTATATATATAAAGTGTGTGTGTGTGTGTGTTTAGAGTGGTTATTGATAAATGTGCAAAGAGTGGTAGATAGATAGATATGCTAAGAGAAGTAGATATGTACGCTAAATGCCGTAGATGCTTACAAAAATGTACCAAAAATGATCAATCAATGCACTAGCTTCACCCTTTACTTAATATTAAATAACCTAACACTAAATAAAGTTTATATTTAATTAACTATTAATAACATTTAATTTATTTCATGTATGTTTTGTTTTGCCTGACTTTTGATCAGTTGATGTAGGATAACAGCTGATAGCTTGCAGGTTCTTTTAGTAATCTTTTATAGAGCCTAATCTTAATTAAGAGAGTGAGGTGTATTAAACAAATTTATAACCAATGAAAAACTGATAATAAGCTTATTAAATGTATCTGATTTCAAGAATACGCATCAGATGATCTGATAGAGTAATATCTTTTATTTGTCTTTGTAATGCTCGTTAAGTGACTCTTTCTATACCTTTCATTATCATTCTCTTCGTCTTCTCCGCTACAACCTCTCCTCCTCCTCCTCCTCCTATTATGAGGCAAAACAACTTTAGGCGCTCCTTCACCAGCATTTATAATACAACATTAACCAGTCTTGTCTGAAGTTGGTATTGAAGAAATGAAAGAAAAATATCCACACGGCGATAATTTCGAGAGTAATAGTGCAAGATAACAGTGATAATTGTCGGGAAAGTTGCCAAGAGAAGTTCAGTTGCTTAGAGGTTTATGGTACATTAAAACCTAAAACTGAAAACTTGCGTTTTTTTTCTCTCACTCGGCGCTAGGCTAGGGCAACCTGTCCTCACACTCTTGAAATTTAAGCAACTTAATTTGTATACACATTCTCTTTGTAATGATCATTGGCTTCGATAGGATAGGTCGGCCTCAATAGGTTCGTGCTCTCATGATAAGGGAAAATACTGTACCTTGTACAGATAAACAAATAATGCGAGAACAGACTATCGGAAGGCTCATTATTTTTCCTCATTATTTCTCGACTACATTAAAGGGAAAATATGCATTTACATCATGTGTGTCATCAATGAGTATTACATAACGGAATGATGCTGCTGTGAGCAATTCAAATCTTTACATTTCCCTTTACTTAGAAAATAAAAAGAAAATTTGTTTAAAAAGTGTGTAATCTGATCCCGCCAAATCTGTGTTTTTTAAGTCTAACATAATGTTTGGCATCGACCCGTATCATGGGTCGCTTTGTTCGTGTTTATTCACCAGTGTGTACCAATTCACCAATTACATGGGTGCTTGTAGGTCGAGCTTCAGCCACTGGGCCCCATCTGGGCTGGTCGGCTATTGTGTCATTAAACAAAAAACAAAAACAAATTATATATAATATATATATATATATATATATATATATATATATATATATATATATATATATATATATATATATATATAGAAGAATTGAAACAGGAGTTTCCTTAAGTACTTTCGTATATAATTATAAGTCTTCAGAAGGGTCTGGAGGGGAAGGTCTTGCCCCTAAAGGGGAAGGTCTTGCCCCTAGAGGGGAAGGTCTTGCCCCTAGAGGGGAAGGTCTTGCCCCTGGAGGGGAAGGTCTTACGACACCATGGCGAGCATGGTGTCGGATACTATAGAAAATGGGGCCGTCGGTGCAAGATTTTGTCACCGCTGTTGTGATGTGTGTCCTCTGTGTTCCCGCCAAAATGGCCTGGTGTTTTTTAAGGGCTTTTTATGTTTTGATGGAAAAATGCGGTTTTATTATTATTATTATTATTATTATTATTATTGTTATTATTGGTTATTGTACATTATAGACACTACATTTAGATATGCACGATGGCGGGATTTATATTCAACAGATCTTACGTGTATGACATAAAGATTTGGGTATCTTTTAACAGGTGTTGGAGGCGTGATGGAGGAAGGTTTTGGAGATGGCGGCGGTGTTGGAGATGACGGCGGTGTTGGAGATGGTGTGGCGGGGTGTAACTCAAGCGGGGGTCTCCGCGTCTCCCCGCAGCTGTTCCGGTGCGGCCCTGAGGAGTGTGTCTCCTGGGAGCTGCGGTGCAACGGCGTGCCTGACTGTGCTGACGGAGGCGATGAGGCTGTTAGGGAGTGTGGTGAGTATCCTGCTCCTCACACCTGTTCCTCACACCTGCTCCTCACACTTGTTCCTCACACCTGCTCCTCCCTTGTCACACTTCCTTCTCCCTCTTCACACCTCATCTACTTATCTCACGCCTACTATTATTTATATTGGAATCGGTGCGACAATCATTATACCAATCCGGGGATTCGAACCTGCATTCTGGGTCACCCCAGAAGGCGTGCGTCAACCCACTGAACCACGATACGCTATAAGTAATTTAACCTGAGATCCTACTGAGTTCACTTGGGATCTTGAGACACCGAGCTCATACCCAAGGGGATAGAAAGCAAGGAAGGTCCCAGGAGCTGAAGCTCAACATGTACAAACACAGCTAAGCGAAAACACACCCATCTCGCTCCATAACTAGGCGAGGACATGCATTCCACAAACAATATGAATTGTATGGATTATGCAAATTTATGTCTGTCACCTCACAGCCGAGCCTACAGCAAACCCCTAGCAGAGTACGTTAAGTCCTGTAACCCTCATTACGTCTTGAACAATTGTTGAAAATACTCTTCATATAGGAGAAAAATCCAGAATATTTGGGGTTTCCCGACACTAATAAACATCTGCTGATTATTATGTGATGGGCGTTTCTCACGGAGCATTCATGAGTAGTTTGTGTGATCTGGTGCGGTACCAATATTCCTTTCCTTCCTAATATGTGGTAGATGGAATTTCCAGTGACACAAAACGCGTATTACTCCTGAATACACGTCGGCTGTAACCTCAAGTAATAAGCATTTGCAAGCATTACTGATGATACAGATGCGTTCTTGTTGGGTTGGTGTGTAATCTGGATGGATTATGTGAAGGTATTGTCTCAGATCCAGAATTTACGACGCGAGACTAGTCAGCCAGCCAATCAGCCAGCCAACCAGCCAGTCACCCAGCCAGCCAGCCAGTCACCCAGCCAGCCAGCCAGCCAGCTAGCCAGCCAGCCAGGCAGCCAGCCAGCCAGCCAGCCAGCCAGCCAGACAATCGGTCAGTCAAGCAGCCAGTGCCGTACCACTCAAATGTTCTCTCAGAAGGAGCGTTAGTTTGGACTAACGAAGCAGGGTAGACGTAGCAAACACTGCTAAATAGAATATCAAGGGTATGTGACAATCCTAAAGAACGTACAAATATTTGAAGGAAATCAAATAAAGGAAACGCAGTGAACAACAGCAATATAACAACAGGTGTGGAAGCCAACAGTAATATAACAACAGGTGTGGCAGCCAACAGCAATATAACAACAGATGTGGCAGCCAACAGTAATATAACAACAAATATGGCAAGCAGCAGCAATATAACAACAGCTATGTCTGGCAATAGGAATGGAACAACATTTGTACCACACCAGTAATGGAACAACAGCTGTACTACACAACAACAATGGAACAACAGCTGTACTACACAACAACAATGGAACAACAGCTGTACCCTACAGCAACACTAGAACAAAAGCTGTTCCACGCAGAAACAATACTTATAAAGGGACCAGGGAGGGTTTGTGAGAGACACAGTGGTATAGGGATATTGTATCAAAGAGAGTAAATGAAAAATAGTCACGTATTGAATCAGTGAAAAAAATAGCCTATGAAAATTTAACAAAAAGCATCACCGAACAGCCATGATAGGCTAGAGAGCGCGGTAAATTACGGTAAAGTGGGGTAACCACTAGACCGTGCAGGCTGAATGCGAATTAATACAGGAATCAGAGGTAATGGGAGAAAGCAATAAAGGAGGAATAAGAGGGAGAAAAACAGAAATGGGTTAAGCGAAGTGGAAAACTAATAAACAGGTGGCCGGAGGCAACTGGCAACTGCGCCAGGGAAGGAAACAATGGAGTTGGTCGGCGCGTGACCGCTGTTTACGGCAGAATATAATTCGCCTGAATATTACAGGTGCGTGCAATGGTAGATAGTCTTCTTGGGCAGCTACCTCTTTGCCCTTGTCTAGGATACTGCTTTCACATCTGGGGCAGATCCCCATTTTCTTACATTCGTGAGAGATCACGATTACATTCGTGTATCATTTGTTCATTTTATTTTTTGTCGTGGATTTCCACCTTATGTTTTATTTGACATCTTTGATCTACTGTTTGGTCAAAAACTGTTTGGGAATATTTACTTTTGAGAGTCGAGTAATTTTATTTATTTTACAATCTTATTCACTGCTGAGATAGCGAATGTTACCATTCTATTGACTTATTCTAAAATTAATTCATTTTATTATGCGCTATGATTGAATGAATTCAGTTTTAAATGTATTCTTTTTGTGGTTGTATAAAGTTACATTTTTGTTTTTCTCATTTTATCACGGGGAACGGTCAGTGCCCGGGGCCACAATCACGCTGCACCCTGGCACGCCGCCTACGTTCAGAATCTAACAATAAACAGCTTTTGGAAATGTTGAATTCAAGGTAAAGTGGCTTCATTACCCCGTCTCTAGTTGATACCTGAATTGGTATACTTAGGTGAACTGAATTGAGTTATGAGAAACGTAGACGGTAATGGTCATTCGTGCTTGTAAGATTGACTATTGAGTATGGTCTCTTACACACACACACACACACACACACACACACACACACACACACACACACACACACACACACACACACACACACACACACAGAGGTTGAAATGCACACAATATTCAGAGATTGAAAATGGGAAACAGATTCACGGAAAACGAAAAGGAAATGTGTGAAACATTAAACGAAAAGTTCTGAAGTGTGTTTGTACAAAATGAAATCTTCAGAGAACGAGACCAATAAGAATTTCATAGAACTACATATAACACATAGAGGTGTCTAGAGACGAAATGAAAAAAAATGCTTAAGGAGCTAAGTAAGAACAAAGCAGTTGACCTAGATGGAGTTTCACCATGGGTTCTGAAAGACAGTGCACCTGAGCTCAGCATTCCACTTCAACTGATTTTCAGGCATCCCTGTGTACAGGAGTCGTAAATGATGTGTGGAAAAAGGCTAACATAGTTCCAATCTACAAAAGTGGCAACAGTGAAGATCCCCTCAATTGTAGACCTGTATCATTTACAAGTGTAACAGTCATAAGTTTTTGTTATTGGGTAGTAAGTGTTATTTTCTGATCGATTATGCCTCCGATTTACAGAAAATGGTTGTTATTCCCATCAAACTCTGCTTTGATCTTTGCCTCAGACAGCTTAGGGAAGACGTCTTGGAGGTATCTGAAGGCTGGCGACTCATGAAACAATGGGTCACAGCTCCAGCCGGCAGCCTCCAGGTACCTTTCATGACGTCCTGCCTAAGCTGTCTTATGTAGACGTCAAAATAAAGTTTGAGGGAGGAATAATAGCCATTGTCTATGCTTTGGAATCCTAAGCAATCAGAAAATAACACTACGCAGGAACAAAAACTGACAGTGTTATTGTACAACACTACGTACAGGAGCTAGCACTCTGCCCTTTATGCATATCTAAGCGAGTACATGCACTTGAGTACACAAACAAACTGAATTTATCAATACACTGAAGAATAACCGAACCTAAAATAATATTTGTTGAGGCTTCTTATTCCATCACATGCCGCGGACCGTATGATAGGTGTTGTAAGCCTAGCAACCTGAACGAGGGTTATTAAGGCCATCACAAGAGCTTACCAAGTATATTTTACACGTAAACAAACATATACGTAAACAAGAGTATATATATATACACTGAGATGCGATATACTCCTCGGTGATATCGTGAGCTAGTCACCTTTGTCTCTTCAGTTCAAATGTTTATTTCGGGGTTAAAAGAAGAAAAAAATGGAGAAATATTCCTGGCTTGGAACTATAATTAAATGCTATTTTATCTGTATGCTAATGGGAACCCAATATAAAACATTTATTTTTCTTCTCTGAGGAAAAATTGAAGTGGAATTTACATGAGAGTAAATGTGAAAAGGAGACTGACCGACGAAGCTTTTTGCGATGCTCGTAACGCTGACGAAAAATGTCCAGACATGGAAGCAATTTGCAGTTGAATAGATTCTGAAAATCTCTGTACACTTGTGTGTGCCTCTCTGAGTGTATGTATTTGTGAGGATGTGAGTGTAGTACGGTGTGTATCGTGTGCATGTATCTGTATGCGTGTGTGAAAGTATATATTCATATGTGTGTGCTGTTTCACACGCATACAAACCAGGTGTGTCATAAGACTTATCATCTATCCTTCTTTACGTCTTCTACCCCAGCTGTGCCAACACCACCACCACCACTTCCCAAGGGCCTATTGCCCTATCCGGAACCAGCTGCCCATCCATCACCTCTGCTTCTCCCTCCTCCTTTACCAGCTGTTTTTCCCCCGTCAGCGATGGCGCTTTGAAGCTGTCCCTCCACTTCCTCCATGCAACAACAACTCCATATTACCCCAACATGGAAAAGGAAAACTGAAGTTATTGTCGACTGAACAACGCACAAGCAAGGTGAGCGAGTTCGTACTCATGGGTCAACGGACACGGGTAATTTCGTGCACAATGCGGTTCGCCAAACGATTCTTGTATTAAATCCTACCTAACCGAACCCACCCCGGTCTAACCTAATCCCATCTAACCTAGTATAACATTATCTAGCCTCACTGAACGGCATATACAGCTTTAACTATTAGAAAACAAGCGAACCATGTGTTCGAGTTTACTGTCTCTCGCATCAACATGTTGATCAGTTCTCTGTGGCATTTAACATGTGACCTGATGGTACTGTTGCTAAATATAGGCTCTTTTTTATATTAATTTAGCTATTCACATATGTTTTTAGCGTCGTTGAATCATAATATGTTTTGTATTCAGTAGCCTACAGTCGGTTCAAATTTGTTGAATAAATTACTACGACGGTGTTGATATATTTTCAGCTTTGATTTGTTTACTGAGCCACTTTAGAGTATTACGAAATCTGAATCGAAATTTCATTTGCGTGGGCAATAATCACTTGAGTTGTGACCATACTAATAAACTATCGG